GTATACATATATATTATTCATATTTTCGGTGTATAGGACGCAAGCAGATTTTGACATCAAATTTGGATGTAAAAAAGTGCATCTTATACACTGAAAAATACGGTAACTTAATAAGACAGGTGTAAGATTAACTTAGTGTGATTTCTAAAGCTGTTAGCTAACCAGGCAGATTATTATTAATTTTTATGTAATAGCTATTGTAGCACACTTTACTAAATAGATTTAGCATAAGAGTGACGAGACAGCTGTTAAACAATAAAGTAATCTTAGCCAGACAGCTTTGGAAATAAGCTTATATAGTTAGTTATGGAAGCTAACTTATCCAGTCAGATATTGAAGCAAGATTTACCAGAGATATATTAAAGTAAGGTTAATCAGAGAGATGTTTAATTTAAAAAACAAAGATGCAAAACTTGAGTGCTTATGAATATTTGACTGTTGTTTTTCAGGAAAGTTAAAAAACAAGAAGAAATAAATAATCATTTATTCAAAAATGCTTGAGTTTTGTATCCTTTTTTTTAATTCATTGCACCTTCTGTGTGCGATCTTGTATACTAACTCTTTTGGCCCGAAAAGAGAGATGTTGAAGTAAGCGTAACCACAGGAGCATTGAAGTAAGTTTAACCAGAGGGCGTTTTGAAGTAATTTTAACCAGAGATTTTGAAATGTGTTTATCCAGAGGAGTATTAAAGTTAACTTAACTGGAGGAATATTGAAGTAGTTTTGATCTGAGAGATTTTGAAGTTAAGCTTAACCAGAAAGATTTTGAAGTTAAATTAACCAGAAAGATTTTGAAGCTAAATTTAACCAGAAAGATTTTGAAGCTAAGCTTAACCAGAAAGATTTTGAAGTTAAGCTTAATCAGAGAGGTGCTGAATTGAGCTTAACCAGACTATTGTGAATTATTTATAGAAAATAATTTTTTGTTGTAGGTTTTACTATAAACATTTCTAGAAATAGGAATTAAATTTTGTAAGCTTGGTATGATGTAAACTCCAAAAAAATATTTATGGATAGTAATGTAGGTTCTTAAAAATTTTTGAATTTGTCATAAAGTTGTTTTCATATGTATATATATTACTTTGAAATGTCTATGGTTATGTGTAGTAATGTTGAAGGAATTAAACATTCAGGCTTAACTAATGTCCTTATTTTAAGACAATATATTTTTGAACAAACCTATTTTTTACCACAATTCTATATTTTGTGTATTACATGATTATGCCAATATTAAAGAAAATTTCATCCATTTGTTCAGCATTGTGTAATAATGATGTAGAAGATTATATGACCTTTCAATGTCTATGATTATGTGTAGTAATGTTTAAGAAATAACACATTCAGGCTTAACTAATGTACTTATTTTAAGAGAACATTATACCATATTGGCCCAATTACAGATCGATCTCAAATATAAGGCGACCCCCATTTTTAGAAACCATAGGGAAAAAAATGTGTTATAACATCCTTTTTTTAGGAGTGCAAAACACATTTCTTGTAGAATGTGCATTAAGGAGTTCAGTCTTTTGTTTATGCCAACATCTCACATTATCTTCAGTTACACCTAATTTTCCAGCAGTGGTACAGTTGTTCATTTTGTCTGCTTCACGCACCACCATAATTTTAAGATTTGCATCAGAACTCCATTATAATCCTTTGTTAATTTGACACTGTCTTATTCCCTATCTTTCAATGTGGTCACTCATTCTAGCACAAGGGTTGATCGCTAAAATGAGACTCGTGGACAACATTTATTATAAAATTTAAAATGAGCACAGTCAAAGCAATAATGCACCAGCACAGTCAATATTGTAACTGAACAGCCTGAAGGTGGATTAGTTCCAAGAATTACTGATGATCTTGATTGAACATCTGGCACATGGATGCTATCTGGACATTTGGGAATGTGACGAGCTAGAGTAGAGGGGAGTGAGCTGTCGTTGGCTGCAGTAATAAGGCTACTATGAATTTTACAGCCTAATTATTAATCAAAAAACATTGTCTTATAATTAGGCCAATGTGGTATTTATGGACAAAACAATTTTTTACGACAGTTCTATATTTCATATGTTACATGATTATGCCAATATTAAAGAACATTTCAGATCCATTTGTTCAGCATCGTGTTATAATGATGTAGAAGATTATAAAGCCTGTCTTTACGAGAAATGAAAGATGACATTTTGTATAGGATCTTGACATAGTTCAATACATTCTTTAGTAAATCATTACTGTATATATTTTTTTTTGTCCAGGATGCATTCAACAAGCATTGTTCTCACCTCATTAAAAATTCACAACAGAGACTTCAGAACATAGCAAGCTTAGCTGAATTTCGAAAACATCATTCAGCAAAATATGTGATGAATGGTCATATCAGTCACAAACGAAGGAGTCATAGGATCAGCAAGACATTTAAAGGTGATGTGTTTCATTCTGAAATAAAAATTAAGGTTAGGACTGGGAATGAATAGTTTTGTATTTTTACATGGAATTAAGAAAAACTAAATTACATAGGCTTGCAATTTTTTTAATCTGAACACTGCCACATGAGCCAATCCAGCATTTTTTAGTACCAAGCCTAAGATGGTCAACAGAGAGGTAATTCTGGAAATTGGTGCTTAAGGGTTATTTCAATAGACCTTGATGAATGAAACTGAATACAACTTCTAAAATAAAAAAAACAAACTAAATATTAATGAAAATACGATATGATTCAATCTATGTAGATTATACTATGGTGGTACCATACTGAGCATTTTACCATCCTTCTTATATTTACACTTCATTGCAGAAATTGCATTTTTAATTTCATAATCGCTGGGATATCATCTTATAATGCATCGTGCATCTGCTTCAGCATTGCATCTTTGGTCTTTACTGGGCTGTTAATTTCACAAAATATTGAAACTAATCAATCTTTTTGAAGATAATGATATTATTTTGCCAATTTTTTTAAGTTTTGCTGTCAGTGCAGTAATCAGTTGACAAATCTCTGATATGGCTTGTATGCCAAATTGGTTGGGATATATTTAAACAAGTTCTTCCCTCATCCCACCTGGAACCATGGTTTAGCTGAACACTTTCACTATGGGCACCTTTTTTTCTGAGCATGTCATGAGGTTTTAGTGAGTTGCATCCAAAATTTAATTAAACAACTTTCTTATCATGGTATATAAATAAACTTGGCATGATAATGTAGCTAATAATCCAAATTTTAATATTATATAAGTCTTACATTCTTACTTTTATAAGGCAATATCAAAAACAAACCTGAATTTCCCCTAGTATGAGAATTGTGACATTTGCTTTCTAGGTATTCCCCTCTTCTCTAATTTATTTAGCACCCCTTTGAGAAGTATGAAATTTAACATAAGTTATTCATTTTAATGTTGTCATTTCTGAGGCAATGTATGATTTGTGTAGCCTTCAATCTTATTTGGTTACAGAGCCATAAAATAGAAAATTGGACCTCTTTTGCCATGCCCACCTGTCACATCATCTCTTTCAGAAATTGTCAGTAATTATCTCTGATGTTCAATACTACATTATTTATAACAAATAGAAACCCAAGAGACGTCTTATATTACAATGTTTTCTGTACTGAGAATTGTCTATTTCGCTTCCAGTTCAAACCTTTATTCCCATAGGAAACACATCGGTGAGCTTAGATGAATTTTTAAAGGCTCTTGTCATATAGTTAGAAAGCCAGAAAAATTGTGATAGTTATGGGACAATGTCTGCTTTTTGCAAGTTATTATTATTTGTTGCATTATTTAATTAAATAAAAAAATTACTTAGTGCAGTAGTACCATTAGTATAAAAAAAAGTAGGGTTAAGTTTCCTTGACAGCCAACAGCAAATGAAAAGAAGACCCAGGTAAGTATTTATTTCTGTTTTTCATGTGTATTTTTTATTTATTATTATAAAAGTAAGTTTTTAGGTTAGATAATGGTAGATTAAGTAAAATAAAGAATAAAATAATAAAATATTTTCATTAGGTATGCTCATGAGTAGCCTGTACATTATGTAATTTGATAGGGTACTATGAACTGCATATTCACTGAGTGATTTTCAACATATGTTGTGAAAATATTACACATGGTTCAAAGCGCAATAAAACAATAAAATTTAAGTAAAAACAGATGTGTACTGTTACTTGTTTAAAGCAATTTAGGATTAAGAAATGTAGTTTCATGTTACAATTTGAAGTCATTCTATAAAGGAAAAAAGATAATTTAAGTTTATTTTGAATCTTATTTTGGTTGTTACGAGGTAGGTCAAAGTGACCAACCTCATTTAGTGCTAGGGCAGAGAAAATAACATAAAATATAAAGTTTTACTGACAAAAATATGTTTTGTATTTATGTAAGAGGTTTTTAGAGATTTTGCAATTTAAATTTGAGATTTTTCAGATGAAGAAAATTATTTTTAATCTTAACATGACAATCACTTTGTATTCAGAGCAGTTAACACTTTGACTCCATATATTTGTAGAGATTTGTTAGTGAAAGTATTTCATTAAAAATTCAGATTTTTTTTGTCTCCAAATGAATTTTAATGATTACCAAAAGCTTGCAAAATCTTGTGCAGTAAACAAAACATATTAGAAGTTATAGTATGGAAATTTTAAGGTAAATTTCAGGTCACGGTTTCGGCTCAGCCTGTAGCGAGAGAGAGTTAACCACTACACTTAAACCATTTCATGCATGTTTCATTGCTACATCCTTTTACTTTGCATTTCCAAGTTAATTTCTCCATGTTGGCTCTCATGGTCACGTGTCTGGTTCAGTGACATAGACCTCAAAAATAGTGCCAAACATCACCTTTTTGTCTAATGAAAATATCCCAAACATTTCCAGAATTACTCAATTTTTTAGATTACATCAAGATGCCAGGCTGGCTCATGTGGCAGGTGTTAATATATAGTAGTATAAATATATATATTTTTCTTTGTTTATTTGTAGGAAAACAAGTGGCAAATCATAATAGAACAAAACATAAGTATAATGGATAACTTTTCTACAAATGTATAATTTCTGCATAGATTTCTAGAGTGGAGGTGTAGTTGTATCCCCACCTCAAACTCATCTGTGCTGTACAGATGGATTTCATCATAACGAATCTCTGACCACGGAATGGTCATGGTACAGATCCATCATGGTTTTAACCAGGATGACTTTTTTTGAAGTTTTAGTGTAAACACTTCTAAAAATAAGAATTGAATTTTGTAAGCTTGGTATATATATATGTAGTGGCAGAAGAGAACAGTCATGTGAGTTACACAACTAAGACATAAATTGTCATTAGTTATTGGGTGACAGAAAAGAACAGCATATGAGTAATAATACTAAGGTTAATGATGAGCATAAACCTTTTTTCAGGTGGCAGTTGTAGTAATATGATCATAAATGGCATGGTAGATACTTTCTTATGGCTGTATATCATCTACAGAACTAGAGGGCTTTTTCTGTTTGCCTCCTCTCACCATTCCCTTTCTCTAATTTCTCCTATATTAGAATTATATCCTAGAGTTACATGCCTTGGCTGATTCAGTGTACATACATGTAGCTTGCTTTTCGTTTTCTTGCTGATTGAGCTATTATTTTAATTGGCCATTACTTATTGAAAGCATACATATGAGTTTATCCTATTTATCTCTTATTTTGTTATTTCTGAAACAAATACTCACCTCTGTACACAGATAGCTATTTACCTTTTGAAATCTGCCCGAGAGACTTGCATGCCACCAGCATTGTGAAAACTCCCACTTAAATTTGTGTGTTTACGTGAATTTGTGATACTACACGATGACACATTATGTATCAAACCCTCTACCAGTAGAAGTGTGACACCTCCTTTAGCAAATCTTCCCTTCATGTGTGAGAATAGTCATTTTTTTTTTTTTGGCATTATTATGTCAAGATGTGTTCCTATTTGCTGAGACTTGCCAAAGAACTTTGTTCTCAACTTACTTTGATCATGTTTAAACATAATTATTATGAATTAACAGTTTGATGTGAATTCCTCTTCAACTGATGTGAGTGAAAATATCACTCACACATATCAAATTGACAATAATTCTGGAAGTCCTTTAACTGTAGAAGATATGACAGCCGTTGTCCAACGTATGGTGGAGACCATAATGCTACTGGGGTCCTCTACTTCCGTCCCTACTGCACAATTTTCTTCCCCCTACCTTTGATACTGATGCTGAGGAGGACAACTTTCAACAGCTTTTTTCACTTTTCTCTTGAAACCTGTTTCTTTCTTCCTCTTATCTGTGGTCATCGTTGGACTGACATCTGTCTATAGACTCCTCCCAGACTTTTTTCTACCCCAACTATTCCTTCCTACCTGAGAGTTCAGCTGCTCTGGAGTGTGGTCACACATTTTCTCCTATTTCCCTCTATCTCCATTCTTCATGAACAATCTGACCTAGACCGACTTCTATGTCCAGTCCGAGCCATTCATTGTTATTTTTCATGTACTTCCTTCTCTCGGGGTTCCTGTCATCAGTGGGACTCCTCCTCTACTAGAGACCTTTCTCCATCCACCGTTACTGAATGAATCCACCAGCTTACTCGGATGGTTTATTCCTCTTTGGTGGTGGATAGTCATAAACTTTTTCATATATCCTTCCACCAACTAAAACATCTAACTCATTCTCTGGCAGTCCATTTTCTGCCTACTTCTCTCACTAACACTTGCTGGCTTTTAAAAATAGGGTTTTGCAGTCACCCATTACACTTTCTCCAGTAAAAGACCTTTCTGGACAGGAAGACCAGTGGGAATGTGTGCACATTCTCTGAGGCTCCTTTACCTGTATTCTTCCCCTTCTTTAAGTGGTCCATGGAAGACCCTTGCCACTTATTAGCTCCCAGCCACTAGGGTGGTGGAACATGGAGAATCCTCACCTAACTGTTGGGGCTAGAACAAGGGTGAGAAGTGGAGCTGTAGTGTTTCTGGAATGTAGTGCAGTTCACTCAATGTAGCTTTGATACATCACAATCTCTAAATGGACTATGAATACAAATCATTTTACCAATCTCACATGTATGTATATCTCTCTCACAATTCCTGCTCCCATATTTACATGAACCCTTAGATTCTGATGACAGGGTAGATGAAACTAATCCTTATCCAACTATAATGTATCACTCTCACATCTTACTTCCACAGCAGTCAAAGGGTCCATAGAGACTGGAAGGTGAGTTGAGGTTATTAGGTATCCATATGGTGCCCACCTCCTGTAGCTGGCATGTAGTGACTGTTGGTTGAGGAGGTGTGCATGGCTATTTATCACAAGTCCTGGCCAAGCACTTGTTTATTATCCATGTTTTGGTAAGTGTTAAATATATTTCTAAGTGTTGTTATGTTTATTGTTGAATAAATTGTTTTTTGTTGTTGAACCCTGATTG